GTAGTGGACACGACCGAACACCTCGGCGATCCACGAGCGAGAGGGAGTCTTCACTAACAGGAGTTAAGAAAATTGAGTTTTTGTTCCACTGTGCGAGTGGTGTTTTTTTTTAGGTCTCTATTTGCTATGTTGTCATTTTTTTCGATAAAATAATTATTAAATAAATTTGCTATGTCTGAGGGATTCAGTATGTCCGATCCATTATATTATTATGTCAATTTATTAATTTGTCTTTTTGTACTGTTTTGGCCCATTTCATTTTTTATGACCGCCCATGTTGCTTTACCCGTATTTTGACTATTCATTACAATTTTTTTGTTTGCGAGCTTTTTTGCGACTGAGGTGCACTTTTTTAATAGTTTGTTGTAAGCTAGGTATGCTTTTCTATCACTTAATTTTTTACTGGTGTAGTATTTATATCTGAGTTTCCTATTTGTTACACAGCTATTTTTTAGGCCCCTAGATGTCCACTGCAACCTACGGAATAATTTTATTTTTATTTTCTTTATTGGAAAACAGAGGTGATAGATTAGGCAAAAGGTATCATAGAAACCGTTAAAAGCAGCATTCATGTCTGTAAGTGTGTAGACCTCCGCAAATGAGATGCTCCCCAAATATTTTTTAAAATTTTCTATATTCTCCTTATGTTCTTTTGTAAATATAATATTCCTTTGGGGCGGCTTTAAAATTTTTTAACTGAAATTTTAGTATCTGTGCCGTATTGTGGTCGGATAACCAAAGAGGTATAGTAGATCCGCACCCATTTGGGATGTTACTTATAATTAGGTCTATGCAAGATTTTTCCTAGTCGGTTGGTTTATATGCAATGAAAGGTTATACTTTTTCAGGATATCTTTTAATCTCGCTGTATTTGGGTCAATATTCAGCATATTTCGCACCCCCCCTGGAAGAAGTATGCAAGTCCACTTGTGCGATATTTTTTTTATTGCACTAAAAAATCGAGGAGGAGGTAATACATATTGTCAATTTTTTTCATAATTTTTATCTTAAAAATGAAGAAATTATGTACAAATATGTAAAATATTGCAACATTAAAACATCTAAATTTCCATAGCAAAAACGAAGTAAATACATTTGCACTTAATTGTTTAATAAAGTTCCGTTTGAATAATAGCATATTAATAGTTACGTACATCTTCCACGAAGACTTTAAAAAACATTTTCGCGTATCTATTGTTGCATACTTATTTTAGGATATTATTTGGTGGGTATCGTAGTGCAAGTTCAGTTGCGTAGTTTTTCCACGAAACTTTTGTGCACATTATCGATGCCTAGTCTAGATGCCCAATTCTTCCACGAAGCTTTTATTCGCATTATAATATATAACAATTGATACGTTATTTTCTACGTAGATATCTTTGTGCAAGTCTAGTTGCTAATATTTTGCGAAACTTTTGGCGATGTTGTATTTTATACCGATATTGATACATTTATTTAGATGTAATTAAGTCATTAACAAAGCACAAATTAACTAAGTTTCAGTCATTTAAGTATCCAATCCACTACTTTTTGCACTAAATACCCCTGTAAGACTGTGTGTTTATCAAAAATTCGTCCCAATGATTACTTACCACGTGGTAAAATTATCGGTCTTTATGAGTACAAGATCCATTTTAAATTCTGTCTCTCTCTTCAGTGAATCGTTATCGTAGTTATCGTGATAAATTTTCAACTTTCCAGAGCCGCATGAGTTAATTTATCAGCTTATGCGTGTATTGCCAGCGTGACAAGGTATGTATCTATACGTCTTTTGGAGCAGTAAGCAACAATCGGTGTGTCCCCAATTATAGAATGATACAAGTTTTTATATGTATTTTAAGGATTATTGTAATCAAAAGGACATACTCGTAATGGTCAGACGTTTAAAAATGCAACAACCTGATTCAAAACTGTTGCCATCTTTTCGTATGTACGATGAGGGAATACTGACTGTATTCTTTTCAGGTGGTACTTGATCGACCGGACGCCAACCTTCCGCAGACCTCCACAGATTGTACTTGCCACTGGAATGTAGTGCCTATCCTAGTGTTGACGCTATTTGTCCAGTAAATTGCATTTATTTCCAGGCCTTATGAAACTCCTGGCTCAGACAATGTTCCTATCCTGGTTGCTTCACAGGTCCGGCCACTCTTCAACAAAGCGTATAAAAGCACCTATAAGTTTTGGACCAAATAAAAACTGTTCTTTCTTTATAGGTTCAGCCAAACCAACGCAATCTCAAGCGATCAGCCGGCGTGCAGTGATGGCGATTAGACTTAGGGTTCGGCCAAACCAACGCGATCACAGCGCGATCAGCTGGCGTGCAGCGATGGCGACCAGACCTAAATGCATTGTTCGCCATCGCTGCACGCCAGTTGATCGAGTGTGAACCTTATAGGATTTGGAAGCGATGTCACCAACGAGTTCAATGTGGGTAGCTTTTGTAGTCATGCAGACAATAAATATCACTATATTATAGGCTTCTATAGTTTTGTTCCCTTGGACATCAAAATTTAAAAGGGTCCTTCAAAATCGTCTCCCTTGTTCATGAATTGTCTAGATTGAGATACTTGCTGTTCTGGTAAATCTACCATTATTTGTACTTTGGCAGTAGCATTCAATTTAGCACAATTGAAACATCTGTGCACGTATTTTCTCGCCAATAGTTTCGCCTTGATAATCCAAAATGTGGAGCTGTATCAGCTTTCTTATGAATTATAGTATTAATTATTATAAACGTTTTCGACTTTCTCCACGACGCGGTTTGCAACAATAGATTTCCACCTATTCGTCTCTCCAGACAGCTAGGCGATCACAATAGAAAAACCTGTTCACAGTGTTCGAACATCTGTGAGGTTATACCCTATATAACCGGATAAATAGAATACTGCATATCTACAACATGTCCTGTAATGAAGCTAAGAAAAAAAATTACGACTGGTTGAAACAGATGGACTATATGGAAACTGAAAAACTATTGATTTGTGAATTATGATCTTAATTAAAAAAACTATTGATTTGTGAATTATGCTCTTAATTAAAAGCAGTGCGTTAATTTCTTATTTCATTCTTATTCATAGAGATTTTTATAAAAATTTGTTTATAAAATATTGCTGAGCTTCGTGGAATTGTTAAACGTAAAATTATTAGTTACCTACTCATGTTAGAAATTTTAAACATTGTGAAGAGCAGCTTTATCCTAGGACAAGTTTTTAAAAACTTAAATGGATAAGGCTAATTTGTAATGACAATGTAACATGTGTTTCATAATAAAATATTTGTATTTGTATTTGTATTTGTATTAGGTTGGTATTCTTCACATTACTTCTTCTCATTTGCTTCATCCAGTTTACTCAAAGCACCACATAGCTCAAGACGTGGTAAAAAAATAGTTTTTAGAGAGCACTTGAGTTTTTTAGCAATTAATTTCGTTTCAAATCCTTCATCTAGTTGATAGTGAACGGCTGCAGTTTATTGCACTCACAGAGGCATCGCTAAATTAATTATATTGTATTTTTACTCGGCCTGCATCCAACGCCTTCCCGCTACCTTTATCAGGTCGTTAGACCACCTTGTGGATGGATGTCCTAACGCTGCGTTTTACGGTACGTGGCCTCCGCTCCATAACCTTGCTGCCCCATCGGCCGTCAGTTCTGCGTACTATGTGCTTCCAACCGCGCGATGTGGAAGTCATTGGGGGAGGCCTATGTTCAGCAGTGGACGTCCTGTGGCTGAAATGATGATGATGTATTTTTTCTCTGTATCTATACATAGATAGTATACCAACCTATATCTGTATTTCGTCAATGTGAATCAAATCCTGCCATATCTTAATCCAATCTTTTTCTAATGAGTTACTTATCTTTCCATCCTTACTAGTTTTTTATCAGCCAAAGTTTTTGTTTTGAAACAAATAAATACTTTCTATTCTATTTCCATTAGAATCTTAGCCATGACTGTAATTAACGCTAAGCTCCAGCCAAGGGGATCAAAAAGTTTGATCAGATGTATCAGATAAAATGTTACGTTTCATGGTTGGTTTTGCAATTTGTGGTATATTCACATTGTATTGAAATCTGTGCTCAAATTCCATTCAATACCCAATGCTTGGACTGTTCCATCAAGGTTCATAAAACTACTTTAGCACTAGCTTATATTTTGTTGTCTTCTATTGACTTCATAAACTCAACGCAGAACTAGGTAGCAAAAGGTATTTGACCGCAATTGCATGTGATGTTAAGTGAGATGCAGTATAAGATGATAGATATCTACCTGTAAGTGCCTATAAGGTCCGGTATAGTGCTCAGGAGAGACAGTAGCAGGCAGCGACCTGTTCGCATTATAAAAGAGTTTATCGAAACGCTTAGTGCAAGCTGGTGGAATGTCGACAATGTAGGAATGATACGTTAACCAGCGTCTGATGATGGAAGGGGGCTGGTGGAATTAGGTCGAGTAATTCCTTCGCACATTCTCTGAAGTGTAACCTGGTGGATGGTCACATCAGATGTATTATTATCTGCTCTGTAAGTTCTCATTAAATTATAGCATTATAGCTTCAATTGAGAGACTGGCTCGCCGCATGTGACAGTGGCAACACGTGTTTCAGGTGTTTTCGGTGTTTTCAGTGAAAAATCAAAGCTTTAGTGTTCATTTTAAGCAAATAATTTAATTCTAAGCTTAGTTATTTCTAATAAGTAAACACAGGTGACGGTCTTATTGGGTAAACCGTAAGTATAATGGATTTAACGCCTCCTGAACCCCCGGATCCCCCGGACCCGGCTTCCCTCCCAATGGACATCTCTCAACCGCTTTTTTCACAAGCCGCGACAAAGCGCCGCCTAGATACGGAGGTTATCGCAGAGCCCGCTAAGAGATCCAACAACCCTTCTGCTCCAATGACATCCCCAAGCAGTCAACCGGTGTACACGCACCCATCCTTAGTTATTGCTCCTAAAACATATACTGACCTTGACAAAGGCCCTTTCTTGGTTCACGTTTCACGCATTGAATCGGAGCCTAATTCCCCAACCTTCATCCAACCAATACGATTTGGAAAATTTTTGGTCACCAACAAAATATCTGACGTCATCAATGACGGTGTTAAAAAAATTGGCAGGAACCGAATCTCCGTAGAGTTCTCCTCTGCCAGTGCGGCGAACAAATTTTTGAATAGTGAGGTCTTATCACTCTGTAAGTACTCTGCTACTATCCCCACTTATAATGTGACCCGCATGGGCCTTATTAAACAAATCCCTTCTGACCTTCCAATGGAAGAACTTGCAGAGTCATTGACGATCCCTGATGGATGTGGCATCCTTCTGAAAGCCCGACGTTTAAATAGAAAAGTGACCACAGATGGACAGGCGTCCTGGGTCCCTACTCAATCAGTGGTTGTTACATTTAAAGGACAGGTCTTGCCAAAAAGGGTGTTTTTGTTCCACAATTCTATACCAGTCGAGACATATCAGCTCCCCACCATTCAGTGCCTCAACTGCTGCCGCTTTGGCCATGTCAAAGCCCAATGCAGGTCGAAGGCAAGATGTTTTCGATGCACGCAACCTCACTCCGCGGATAGCTGTGATGTTACAGAGGAAAAGGCCACCTGCATTCACTGCACTGGCCCGCACTTCGCACTCAACAAATCCTGTCCTGAGCACTCCAGACAAAAAGCAATTAAAATAGCCATGTCTCAAGATAATATTTCCTACGCTGAGGCTTCGTCCCTGTACCCATCATCTCGTAGGTCTTATGCCGACATCACCAAGTCTCCATCTTCACAACCTCTACCCTCTCCTTCCCAACCACTTCATTCGCATTCATCTCACCTCCCTCTCTCCTACAAGAAAACCATTTCCCGCACCCCCCGCTCTCACGCGCCATTAGGAAAAGGTTATGATAGGCAGGCACACCAAGCCATTATTGGCAATTGTGCGTCTAGCCTCCCTAATGGTTGTGCCATTAATACCAACAACTCATCATCATCGCCGTTAGCCGACGAGAGTCTATTAGACCTCGTCCTAACCCTCATCCTTCAGATTGTTACCCAGCACAAAAATAATATACCGTCCAACGTTGCCCACAAACTTTTCCAAATTTCTCAGTTATCCAACAATAATGGCAATCCAGGCGGTCCAGTGGAACTGCCAGAGCATTAGACGGAAGAAACATGAATTATCCTACTTAATCAATAAATATTCCCCGTCGTTTCTAGCCGTCTCGGAGACCTGGCTTGTACCGGAATCACACTTCTATATTCCCCGTCCTAACTCATCCTCTCTTAATGAACTACGTTCAGCCATTTTAGCTCTCCCTTCTCCCGTCCTTGTCCTAGGTGACCTTAATGCCCATAATACCGCATGGGGCTCATACCATACGGACTCTCCAGGTTCCTTACTTCTAGACCTTTTAGACGACCTTAACCTATGCGTTCTGAACAATGGCTGCCCGACTAGAAGATGCTCTCCATCTCAAAACCCAGCTACCGCTGTGGATGTGTCTTTTTGCTCCCCCAACCTTATGTCTCTGCTTTCCTGGAATGTTCTGAAAAGTACTTTCGGCAGCGACCACTTCCCTATTTTGATCACCATCCCTAACAAATCATCCCCAACAGCCCGACCCCCTCCATTAATGAGATACAAATTAAAGAACGCCGATTGGTCAGCTTTTTCCGTATCGGTGGATAACAAATTAGATTCCCTCCCTATAATTACTCCTTTAAATCCTATTTTAGCATACGAAAACTTTACAAATATCCTTCGGTCGTCTGCTGATGAACATTTCCCCCAAAAAAAACCTATTCAAAAGATCTCCCCTCCGTGGTGGGATGCAGAATGTTCAGCCATTATTCTTAAACGTAAGGAGGCCGAAAAGCAATACAATAGGTCTATGACTATGGAGAACTACCTACACTATCAGCAGACAGCTGCCCAGACAAAGAAATTTTTATCCAAAAAGAAAAAGTTAGGATGGATTAATTTCTGTGAGTCTTTGTCCCCTAGGACTCCGTCTTCTGTGGTATGGAAACAGATAAGAAGGTACCGCCAATCCCTTTCAGCATCCAACTCTCCCTCTAATGATCCCTCTGTTTGGTTGGATAAATTTGCTGACAAATTAGCCCCTCCCTTTGTTCCTTATATAGATTGCTTCCCATCCTCTCCCCTTGTTTCCATCGCTCCAACCGGTATTTTAGATTCCCTCTTTACCGTTGATGAGCTCTTGTCCGCATTAAGTGGCCTCTCTGATTCTTCCCCTGGAGCCGACGGATTGCCATATTCGTTTTTAATTAATTCCTCCCTTCGTGCTAAATCTTTCTTCCTACAACTAATTAACAACTTTTTTAACCAGGGTATCGTTCCTGACTCTTGGAAGGAACAAATCGTCATTCCTATACCGAAGCCAGGGAAAGACCCCTTGGACCATAGCTCCTACCGCCCTATTGCCCTATCCTCTGCCCTTCTAAAAATCATGGAACACATGATTAGAAACCGTCTAGAATGGTTAATGGAGTCTCGCGGTATTCTGGCGAAGTCTCAATTTGGTTTTCGCAAAGGTCTTAGTACTCTGGACAGCCTAAGCATACTTACTACGGATATCAGACTGGCATTCACAAATAAGGAATTCCTGGTGGGAATTTTTTTGGACATTTCTTCCGCTTACGATAACGTCTTGCTTCCAGTGCTCAGGCAAAAACTGCTACATCTGAGTGGCTCGGAGAAGTTGGTACGTTTCATCTGTAACTCTCTAATGGCAAGATCTGTCTCAATTAAATGCCAAAATATCACATCCCCGCCCCGTTTACTCTGGAAGGGTCTCCCTCAAGGATCGGTGCTCAGCCCACTTCTTTATAACTTATACACCTACGACCTTGACCAAGCTGTGAATTCCTTCTGCAACATTCTACAGTACGCCGATGATATTGCCCTTTACACTACATCTAAATCGATAGATGAGGCTAACACACGCCTTAGCTCTGCTCTTAACTATCTCGGCGACTGGACGACTACTCACGGCCTATCCATCTCTGTGCCGAAATGTTGCTGTGTTATTTTCACCCGGAAACGGCACATTCCAGATATCGAGGTATCTTTAAACGGTGACCCTATTCCTAACTGCAACCAGGTCAAATTCTTAGGTCTGATCCTGGATACTAGATTATCAGGTGTCGCTCACTTTACCTACATCCTTAAAAAAGCAGAAAAAGGAATCAATGTAATTCGCGCCCTTTCTGGCACTTGGTGGGGGGCCCACCCCTACTCCCAAAAGCTTCTTTATAACGCCATCGTTCGCAGCCACTTTGATTACGGGTCTTTTCTTCTAGACCCTTGCAATAAAGTTCCCCTCGATAAATTAGCTAAAAGCCAGTCAAAGTGCTTACGTATAATTTTGGGAGCCATGAAATCTTCGCCTATAAACGCGTTTCAAGTTGAGTGCGTTGACCCTCCCCTCTATTTACGTAGGCAATACCTCAGTGACCGTTTCTTTGTCAAGGTCGCTCAGAATGCTTCCCACCCTCTTTTAGAAAAACTTGAGCTTCTCTCCTCTTCTAACAACCCATCATCATCTCAAAAAACCCCTTGCATTCTGCTAAGCTTTCAAAAATTTGGTCGTCTCCCATGTCCCATTACTAAAATTACTACTTTCCCCCTTTTCTCAAACAGCTTCGAATCCTTAATATTTCAACCTCCTATTATTCTAAATTTTGGTATTTCAAAAGACTCTCCTACAGCTCCCCAAGAATTTAGAAATATTCTGTCCGAACACTGGCAAGGATGGCTCACGATGTACACAGATGCGTCCAAGCTCGCTGATGACGGCTGTGTCGGCGCAGCAGTGTGGATACCTGTGTACAAAGTTGCACTTAGCTTTAAATGTCCCCCGGTTACATCGGTCTTCACCGGTGAAGCTACAGCTATCTTAGAAGCCATACTTTATGTGAAATCCCATTCGTTAAATAACGTTTTAATTTTCTCGGATTCCCTTAGTTGCCTCCAATCAATTTTGGCTAACCCTTTCAAATGCAAAGTAAAATTTCCCACAGTTCTAAAAATAAGACAAGCCCTTTTCGATTGTCGACTGAAGGATGTCAACATAGTATTGGCTTGGATTCCTAGTCACAGAGGAATCCCAGGTAATGAATCTGTCGACTCATGTGCTAAACATGCCATATCCTTTGGTTCACTAGAGCACTACTTTTTATTCTCACACGATGCTGCATCTCTCTCCCAAGCCCATCTCTATAAATCGTGGAGAACTCATTGGGATAACTCAAAAAGGTTGGCTGGTAAATATTATGCAGATATTCAGAAAGATATTCCCCCTAGACCTTGGTTTTTTAAATACAAACACCTTCCTAAAAGCTCGGTTTCAATTATTTGTCGGTTGCGAATTGGTCATGCGTGTACTCCGGTTCACCTCGCGAAGATGCATATAAAGGATAGTTCCTTGTGCGAATGTGGCTTAGACGAAGGCACAACCTATCATATTTTTTTTAATTGTCCAAACATAGGTTCCTTCTTATTAGATTTCCTCCCTGACAGCGTCCCTCGTCCTACTAATATTAAATGTTTACTAAACTCCATGAATCCTCCGCTTATAAAACAAATATCAAAATTTATCCAATCCCGAAAAATTCGCTTGTAGGTATAATCAAAATTATTTTTCCCCTCCCAATCTCCCATCCTACCCTCCTTCTTCCAACTATTTTAATCCCTGTATTATGTATATATTTGTGTTGTCTCAATCTGTGATGTCTTTTTTGTTTTGTTTTAGGTACTCACACAAATAATTTCGCTTATTGTTTCCTTATCTATTATTGCTATTTTTAGCGTGCAGATTCTACACATTTTTAGTTTGCAATTTTAACGTTGAATTTAAATTTAAATTTTCAAATCACAATGGCCACTGATAGCTTACCCATCCTAATTAAAAAACGCAGTGCTATGAAAGCAAAGCTTACTCATTTCAACAATTACTTAAACAGTTTAGGAAGCACTAAAAAACTGTCCGATATGCAGCGTATAGATTTAGAGGGCCGATTTAGTAAATTTGATGCCTTATACGCTGACTTTGACGCATTACAGCTCGACATCGAGGTGCAGTCGGATGCTCCGGACTCCGAGTACGAGGAACGCGCCCAGTTTGAGGAGCGGTACCACGCGCTGGCTGCGCAGGCACGCAGCTTGCTGGCCAGCGCGGGCTCCGGGGACAGCGAGTCAGTGACGAGTTCGGCGAGCAAATCAGGTGCATCGTTACACAATAATTTTATTCGCTTACCTAAAATTGATTTGCCTAATTTCAATGGTAGTTATCAGTGCTGGCTTGAGTATAGAGATACGTTTTTGTCACTAATTCACAATAGCAGTAGTATTGACAACATTAGTAAATTCCACTACCTACGTGCATCCCTGCAGGGGAATGCACTCGAAATTATAAAGAACATCGATTTTAATAGTGATAATTATAAAATGGCGTGGAATTTACTGTGTGAGCGCTATAACAACAGTAGGCTTTTAGTGAATAATCACGTGCAGGCATTGTTCAATGTTGGCAACGTCTCGAAAGAGTCGAGTGCTTCTTTGCGTCATCTCATTGATACAATTAATAAAAACATCAGAGCGCTAAAAACATTGAACGAGCCCACGGAGTATTGGGACACGCTTATTGTTTACATGATGTCGAACAAATTAGATATTGTAACTAGTCGAAATTGGGAGGAATATCGTAGCACCTTACCTAAATCCCCATCTTTGTCTCAATTTTGTCAGACATTTTTAGCTATCTTTTGATGTATAACACATATTTTTAATAATGGTAATACATTTTTAGGACAGTTTTTTTACGCTCCTGAAAAGTTGTCATTTTTCACTTGCGTACTTATTCCAGGAAGGGTGCGATTTATGTTTAAATCTCCTACCACAATTATCTTCTTATTTCCGAATTTAAAAAAACATTTGTAAAGCAAGAGCTCAAACTTATCAAAAAAATAGTCCATGTGTCGTTTAATTTTCGTAGGAATTCTGTAAAGACATATGATTATGATGTTATTTTGCGTTAAATGGCAATGCCAGATTTTGTATGGAAGGTGGCGTCTTTTTTTTTTCGCGCGGCCATCGACCAAACTTTGTTTTTTGATTACAAAATAGTGTAATAAACCAAACTTACTATGGCATGTATACCTCTAAACTCAGTCTGAACTGAGTTACGAGCATTAGAAGTTTAATGATTTTCATACTAGATTTGCTTTTTGCGCGCAAGTTTTGTAAGAAATTGCAACAAAATATTGCGCTATTTTTTTATTGCGCTGATTCTGCTGCATACTGATGTCTGGAGCCTTTAATGGATGGTATTGTTTGTTTACACATACAATGTCATTATTTTGTTGCAATTTCTTGCGCGCAAACAGCAAATCTAGTATGAAAATCATCAAACTTCTGATGCTCGTAACTCAGTTCAGACTGAGTTTAGAGGTATACATATCATAGTAAGTTTGGTTTATTACACTATTTTGTAATCAAAAAACAAGGTTTGGTCGATGGCCGCGCGAAAAAAAAAAGACGCCAATTTCCGGCATTGTCTTTTGTGGCACAAAATTCAAAATGGAATGTCATAACAAGTTCTTCAAAGTATGTAACTTTTTTTATGTTCAATGGCCTTCCTGATCATAATACATGTACCTCCTCTTTTATTTTGTCTAGAGTAGTTACTTGCGACCTCATAATTATTAATATTTATGTTCTTAACATCAGTGTCTCTAACAAAAGTTTCTGTAAAGCACAATATATCCGGTTTTGTGTGATTGTTGATTTCTGTCAAAGTTAATTCTATTAATTCCTTTTTTGATAATAAACCATGGATATTTTGGTGAAGGATTGTGAAAGTTGTATCAGTTTTAGGATCGAAAAAAATCGTTTGTTTGTACCGTATTTGTAGGTGTATTCAGTGTACCTTGAGTAATCTGTGGCTTACTTTTTACTATTGCTTTAAAATAAAATGGTATAGTTCCTTTCTTATAATGTAGTATTTGGTCCGTATTTGAATTGTGTGAAGGGATATTTTTTGTGCAAGGTCTCAAAATATGTTTTTTTAGGCTTTCGATCGTTAGGTATTTACTTTTATATTCCACATAGTCGACGCATAGATTTATTTTATCACAAAGGTAGTTGATATAAGAATAATGATTTAGGTTGAACCAATTTATGTCAATAATGTTACAATTTTTGAAATGTTTTGTCCATAACTTTAGGTTATAATGGAGTGTTCTAACATTTAGACTAATATTAAAATTTAGTGGTGCTAAATACACTGTATTCTTACATAATTGGTTCAATATTATGCAAACATTCGAATGTAGTATTTGTATATTTACATCATTTCCACCAATACCTAGTATAACAATGTCATTACTTGAGATATTTAAAAAGTTTTTAACACAATAATCCAGTATTTCCGTACTAGTAGCACCGGTCAAAATATGCGCTATGGGTTGGTACTTATCGTTCCATTTTCCCTGGCGTGACTTGAGTAACGCTGCAGATAGGCCTTTTAGTTGTTCATCGCCTATTATATGCACCTTCATAATCTTGCCATCGCTGCCACTGGCTCCATCTATTGGCGGGCTGGTGTTGTTCGATCTTATGCGTTCGTGTGCTGGAGTACTATTCAGTACACAGGTTTCTGATTTTCTATTCGTCCTTTCTTCTAATTGTGAGAAATCGAGTCTGGTTCTAGTAATGCTTTTCTTTGTTTTAGAGCATATTATCTTTTTCTTATTTGTTGAACTGCAGATGTGGGACAGCTTCTTTATTTTTAGTTCGTATTCTTCGAGTCGTTTGGCCATTATATTGTTTTCAGCCAATAAATTTTCTATCTCACTATCCGCAACTTCCAATCTTCTCTTAAAGTGAAATATTTTGTTGTTTAAGTTCCTCAATGTCAGAGCTACTATTTAATCTTAGATTTGAAAAACTCCTATTAATCGTCATCGCTGGTGAAGATGTTAAAGATGAGTCTTCGACGTTATCATTAGACAATTCCTCAAAGGAGTTTTGTGTGGGGATGTTAATTTTGTGTTTAGGTCGTTGAGTGACGAAATCTTGACCTGGTGTAATCTTAGGAATCTTTAAGCAGACATCACATCTGAAAGCTTTTTTCCTTTCTGGGCTCATTATTCTAAAACGCCCAAACGGTACATTAATGCAATCTATGTGATAAGCGTTTTTGCACAGGGAACAGATCAAAAATTGGCTATTTGTAATGTTTTGTTGACAAGCTTGGCAATTATGCGCCATCTTACGGTGTGAACTGGAATCAGATGTCGTTGCGTGCATCGATTTCTCGAAAGTTATTCGTGCTAGTGGTACTCGCGTGTTGCGCTAGATGTCGTTGTTTACTGACGTTGTCGTAGTGCAAATCATCCGCTCGGTCAAAGTCCAATATTCATATTAAGCAGTAAAACACTGTTCGTTATTTGATTTCAAAATATTCCAAATGTTAGTTACTGTATCGTGCACAATTGTTATGTTTATCACTGTGTAAGTCAAATTCCAACTATCCTGTCCCACTTCACTGATGTTTTTCTTATTGTTGTTCACTTTTGTTTGTTTTCATTGTCACTTGTTTGATTTTAATTTATTTTGGATAATCCGTCACTGAGTTCATAGATAACGTTCACACATGAGTATTATCAGTCAGCGTCGAGCATTCGGCACGAGCGGTTGGCGAAGCGAACGTTCGCTGTTGCCTTGTAAAAACAACATGTCGGTAGCGAGTGTACTTAAGTGTAATAACTGCAATCTTGTAGTTAACGAGTTGTTAACTTTTGTGCAAAATAAGCATGAAGTTATGGACAGTGAAAGTTTGGTGAGGATTTGTACTTCAGCTTTCTCACCGGAGGATATTGTAACAGCTAAGTCGTTGCTTTTTCAATCAATCCCGACACAAAAACGCAAAATTAAACGGAAGCCAAAAGATGGGAAACATGACAAGGATTTATTTGACGTTATTGACGTTTTTAAAACAATAGATCCAGAAAATATTCCGATGTTTGTGGCCTATGATTTGAATAAACTGCCACCGATTACATTTGATCACGTAGACGTAACCAGACTATTAAAAGATATTTGTAAGCTACAAAATGAGGTAAAGCTTATTAAAAACACTTATGTAACTACCGAACAGTTATTGCAAACTAAGGAAGACCTAATGAAAATAAATGATGGTGACGTAATGTTGGACAAGAACTTACGAACCGAATTAAGTCAGACAGCGCCTAATAACTCATATAGAAATATAAACTTAAGAAGAGGTGCATGTTTGGCTAGTTTTGATTACGATAGTGGTCCAATCGGGCTCCCGCCTATGACACTACTGGAGAACGACCAAAAAACCGTTAGCTCAAGCATTGATGCCGCAAAAATCAGCTGTGATCGTTCATCTCTCTTGCCCGCGCGTAAAGACGATATATGCTTCGTCTCTGTCGCGGCGCTGGGGCAATCGCTTACTAGTGAGCGCGTGGAGGCGACAACCGCGGTTCCGGCACGGAAAAGCCCGAGCGGCCCGAGCGAAGCCGAACGTCCTGCGCTAGAGGCAGTGAGGCCCACCGCGGTCCCGGTCAATATCTCGGGCAATGCGACCAATAACGACTTGCCTGCGCCTGCGCGCTCGTTTGTGGAGGTGGCGCGAGAGGCGGGAGTTTGGAAAGAGCCAACTAAAAGTAACGAATGGATTGAAGTTCAGAGAAAAACATATAAGAATAAATTCGTAGGTAAAAAGGGGATAGCTGTGACTACATCGGACTGTAAATTCAAGGCAGCTGATTTGAAAGTCCCACTGTTTATAAATAACGTCGATAAAGGTACTTCGCTTAAAGACATTGCAGACTATATTAAGGAGAAAACGCAAGTGCCAGTAATTTTAGAAAGAATTGAAATGAAGCAGCAAAAACTGTATGATGCCTATAAGATTTTTGTACCTAAACATAAAATAGAATTATTTATGGAAGACCAGATGTGGCCTGAAGGCATTACTTTTCGCCGCTTTATAGACTTTGGTTACAGGAATAAACGCAATATAGAACATGGAAGAAAGTCAAACCAAAATAACATCGACAAGTAGTTTTATAACTTTTAATTGTAAATCGCTGAAATGATCTATAGACCACCTAAGGTTGCTGTGTAAAAAGGCAGATATTATAGCCCTACAAGAGACATGGCTTTTCCAACATGATATACCACTCCTTGGCACCATTGATCCTGGTTTTGGATATACAGGTACCTCCGCTATTGACTCATCTGCGGGGATTGTGCGAGGCAGGCCCTATGGCGGTGTGGCGTTGTTGTGGCGGAAAAGTGCTTTTGAGTCAGTGTCAGTAATTCCCTGTAATAATGTACGTTTGACAGCGATAAAGGTTTGTGTGTGTAATCATTCTTTCCTGGTCATCTCTGTTTATATGCCAGTGAGTGCTAGTGAAAATTTAATTGAATTTACTGACTGTTTAAGCGAAATTAGTGCAATCATAGAGAGTACTCAGATAGCGTCTGTATTTATCTTGGGAGACTTTAATGCTGATCCTGGTGATTTGTTTGGTACCGAACTTTGTAAATTTTGTTATGAGCAAAAATGGATTTGTGCAGACATAGAAAAGCTCGGATTAAACTCGAACACTTTCACATTTATTAGCGATGCGCACGGTAGTACGAGTTGGCTAGATCACTGCCTTGTTACAGAGTCTTCGTGGCAGTCGGTGGTTGATGTGGGGGTGCACTACGACTGTACTTGGTCTGACCAT